TAAACGAATTTTACACATTTTCAAGTGTAAGTTTACAATCACACCTTTCAGATATAATCATTCTATGACACTTTTCTGACACATTAACATATAATAAAGGATCTCTTGCAAGGGATTTCCAAAACATCTTTAGTTTTCCTAATACAAATAGTCTAAGTTCCCCCCCAAAATTATGCAAATATATCATGTTTATTGCTATTATAAAGTCAATAAATGAACTCAAGATAAAAACGCTTGCTTACGATTTTAGAGATATAAAATTTACATATAATGTGTAAGTTTCATGTAAATTGAATAAAAAATGAAAGAGATATTCATTTTCAAGTAACAAACATTCAAGTAAGTAAAAAATAAAGTCTAAGGTATTGCCCTCTGTGGCTGAGGTTGACATCAACCAATTTCCTCCAAAACTGGCACCCTTACAGATAGGCATACGTGCAGTCAGGTGTATAAGTTTCATGCAAATCGCCCTATAAACAAAGGAGAGAGATAAAATTAAAAAAAAAAAAAAGTAAAATTTGCCTTTTTTTTTTTTTTAACTAAAATTTTTTTTAATAAAACTAATTATAATTTGTTTTTAATATATGCTATTGTGATAGCTGAGAGTCATAGACATGATTTCAGTTGACATTTTTGTCTGATAATCGTTTTTGACCATTTTGGAAAATTTTTGACACATACAGTAATTCAATATTTTTTTCTCCCTTCCTATTTATGCTACGATGCTGAGACTTGGACCAAATGAAACCCTTTTCATATACAACTTGTCAAAAAAGTTTGATTGAAATTGAACGAGTTTTCATTTATTGCATATTTTGGGAATACCGCCCCCTTAAAAATAATTGTGGTAGACATTGCCGGGTGTGAGCGCCTCAGTAGTGAGTGAGCAACCAAGGCTGGCGCTCGCAGCATGAGCGCACAGCACTGCTGTTCAGCGTGTGACCACAGCATCGCCTAATAATGTTGAAATATATATATAACCTGTATTATTTAGCCATGATAGTTTTATAGAAGAGCCTGAGTGTGATAATGACTGGGTACAATGTTCAAATATCAGTGATTCAATGCTGTTTACGATGTTCACAACGCTAGCCACAGCACCATAGCATTATTTCGTCCATCTAGGAATCTTAAAATGACTTTTTAGGTCCCTTTTCAAAATAAACTTGTGGTCAATTATTCATTTACAGGAATTAGTGACCAGGATTGTGGTTATAATTAGCGTTGTGCATAGTATTGTGGAAGGAGGAATTTTGGTGAGGGAGGGAGGGAGAGAATTGAGGTAGCCTCACTGTGGCAGCCACTCTTGTTTTGCTCACCATACTAGCTTCGTGGTTCGCTATGGGGAACACACATGTACATGGGTATATACAGTGTGTGTGTGTGTGTGTGTGTGTGTATAGTGTAATAACAGAAATAGGAGTATGTTGAGTGGAGCTATTTTGGCGAAGGAGGCGACGTCATAATCGTAGCGTCGGCTGCTGTCTGCTGTGTGATTTCTCATGCAGTGTATGGTGGCCACTGTACTGTTTGGACACAATACCGGCTTACTTTCATAGTTCTGGTAAATAAAACATGTAGATAGGTATATATAACATGTGTAAATAGTGTAATCAAAACAATAACAGTATGGTGGAAGGAGCAATGTTGGCGAGTAAGATGTTGGAGTGAGGGAGGGCCTGTCTGGGTGTGGCTGCTCACACTCGCGGTGTTCTGAATGTGTTGATGGTGAATGTATATAGTGTGTGACAGTGTATAGTTTGTAAATAGATTGTATATATACATAAATTAGCATAATGCATGGTAAATATGTGCACATATGTGTTCACAAGTGTCATGCACATAACACAGTGTCCTAGGACAGTACGGATGTTTTACTGCCATAATATAGTGTACGTGTTCATTATACATAGGATTAGCACGTAAAAACAAATAAAATGTATTTGGAACTGTGAGCAAAAAATGAATAAAAATATATTCGCGGCAACTCGCACGCCCCGCCCTGGGCGCCCCACTGGCCCCGGCGAACGGGTAATGATGATGTCACGTGCCAACTTACAGACCCCATAGCAGCCAAAGTAAGTACAATTTCAATTTTTTTTGACATACCCATACTGAGGGAAGGGTTTTTGACACTTTAAAAAACAAAAGAATTTTTTCAAGATAATTTATTTTCTGCGCACTGGGGGGGGGGGGTGTCATATTTGGAGGCGGCGCAGTTAAAGGATTAATCGACACATCATGACATACACCATGATAACCAGGAGAGGAACTGGAATATCATGATCACAAGGATAGGAGGAGGTGTTTCATCTAGTTAACCATGAGACAACGACCTGCCACATAATGATCACCAGGAGGAGAAGAGCTGGCACATCATGATCACCAGGAAGGGAAGAGCTGTCACATGATCACCAGGAAGGGAAGAGCTGTCACATGATCACCAGGAGGGGGAAGAGCTGGCACATCATGATCACCAGGAGGGGAAGAGCTGGCACATCATGATCACCAGGAGGGGAAGAGCTGGCACATCATGATCACCAGTAGGGGAAGAGCTGGCACATCATGATCACCAGGAGGGGAAGAGCTGGCACATCATGATCACCAGGAGGGGAAGAGCTGGCACATCATGATCACCAGGAGGGGAAGAGCTGGCACATCATGATCACCAGGAGGGGAAGAGCTGGCACATCATGATCACCAGGAGAAGAGCTGGCACATCATGATCACCAGGAGGAGAAGAGCTGGCACATAATGATCACCAGGAGGAGAAGAGCTGGCACATCATGATCACCAGGAGGAGAAGAGCTGCCACATAATGATCACCAGGAGGAGAAGAGCTGGCACATCATGATCACCAGGAGGAGAAGAGCTGGCACATAATGATCACCAGGAGGAGAAGAGCTGCCACATCATGATCACCAGGAGGGGAAGAGCTGGCACATCATGATCACCAGGAGGAGAATAGCTGCCACATAATGATCACCAGGAGGAGAAGAGCTGGCACATCATGATCACCAGGAAGGGAAGAGCTGGCACATCATGATCACCAGGAAGGGAAGAGCTGGCACATCATGATCACCAGGAGGAGAAGAGCTGGCACATCATGATCACCAGGAGGAGAAGAGCTGGCACATCATGATCACCAGGAGGGGAAGAGCTGGCACCTCATGATCACCAGGAGGGGAAGAGCTGGCACATCATGATCACCGGGAGGGGAAGAGCTGGCACATCATGATCACCAGGAGGAGAAGAGCTGGCACATCATGATCACCAGGAGGAGAAGAGCTGGCACATCATGATCACCAGGAGGAGAAGAGCTGGCACATCATGATCACCAGGAAGAGAAGAGCTGGCACATCATGGTCACCAGGAGGAGAAGAGCTGGCACATCATGATCACCAGGAGGAGAGAAGCTGGCACTTCATGATCACCAGGAGGGGAAGAGCTGGCACATCATGATCACCGGGAGGGGAAGAGCTGGCACATCATGATCACCAGGAGGGGAAGAGCTGGCACATCATGATCACCAGGAAGGGAAGAGCTGGCACATCATGATCACCAGGAAGGGAAGAGCTGGCACATCATGATCACCAGGAAGGGAAGAGCTGGCACATGATCACCAGGAGGGGAAGAGCTGGCACATCATGATCACCAGGAGGAGAAGAGCTGCCACATAATGATCACCAGGAGGAGAAGAGCTGGCACATCATGATCACCAGGAAGGGAAGAGCTGGCACATCATGATCACCAGGAGGGGAAGAGCTGGCACATCATGATCACCAGGAGGAGAAGAGCTGGCACATCATGATCACCAGGAAGGGAAGAGCTGGCACATCATGATCACCAGGAGGAGAAGAGCTGGCACATCATGATCACCAGGAGGAGAAGAGCTGGCACATCATGATCACCGGGAGGGGAAGAGCTGGCACATCATGATCACCAGGAGGGGAAGAGCTGGCACATGATCACCAGGAGGAGAAGAGCTGGCACATCATGATCACCGGGAGGGGAAGAGCTGGCACATCATGATCACCAGGAGGGGAAGAGCTGGCACATCATGATCACCAGGAGGGGAAGAGCTGGCACATCATGATCACTGGGAGGGGAAGAGCTGGCACATGATCACCAGGAGGAGAAGAGCTGGCACATGATCACCAGGAAGGGAAGAGCTGGCACATGATCACCAGGAGGGGAAGAGCTGGCACATCATGATCACCAGGAGGGGAAGAGCTGGCACATCATGATCACCAGGAGGGGAAGAGCTGGCACATCATGATCACCAGGAGGGGAAGAGCTGGCACATCATGATCACCGGGAGGGGAAGAGCTGGCACATCATGATCACCAGGAGGGGAAGAGCTGGCACATCATGATCACCGGGAGGGGAAGAGCTGGCACATCATGATCACCAGGAGGGGAAGAGCTGGCACATCATGATCACCAGGAGGGGAAGAGCTGGCACATCATGATCACCGGGAGGGGAAGAGCTGGCACATGATCACCAGGAGGGGAAGAGCTGGCACATGATCACCAGGAGGGGAAGAGCTGGCACATGATCACCAGGAGGGGAAGAGCTGGCACATCATGATCACCGGGAGGGGAAGAGCTGGCACATCATGATCACCGGGAGGGGAAGAGCTGGCACATGATCACCAGGAGGAGAAGAGCTGGCACATCATGATCACCGGGAGGGGAAGAGCTGGCACATCATGATCACCAGGAGGAGAAGAGCTGGCACATCATGATCACCGGGAGGGGAAGAGCTGGCACATGATCACCAGGAGAGGAGCTAGTAAACAATGATAACCAGGGTGAGAGGAGCCTGAACACCCTGATAATCAGGAGGCGAGGAGCTGGCACACGAAGGTAACCAAGAGGAGAGGAGCTGGTACACCTTGAGAGGTACTGGCCACTCATGGGCTGTGATCATAATTTAATCTTTTGACTTCAACTTCAAGTGAAGAAAACAAACAAATTTAAAGAATACACACAACATACCTGCAACACCAGCTGCCGCAACAAGCCAGACAACAAGACTAAGGCGTCCCAACACGTCAGCCGTCTTGCCTGACCAGCAGAACATCACTGCTCCAAGGTACCCGAGCACCAGTGCCAATGCCTGAAGACAAACTTTAGTTACATGGGGTTTTTTGACGATATTCGCAAAAGTGCCTTGTGTACTTCTCCAGTATTTCCAGTAACAAACATGTTAACACAGTGTAACAAAATGATACAACTGCTTGTGGAGTTTTAAAGAGTCAATTGATAACAGGGAACTGTATATGCTGACCAACAGCAAGGATTGTTCCCATAAAGTATCAATTGTTCCATAAAGTATCACCCAACATCTAATGAACTCATGATTCAAAATTTCATCACCACCACTTTAGCAACAGCCTGAGTCAGTTTATTTGATTACTATTGGCTAATATTAGTATTCATCCACGGTAATTTGTTACATACTATGTACTGGGTATATGTATTTTTTAATTTCAATAAAGATTTTGAGTGCATCACCAACCTGGAGGCCTGGTCAGAGACTGGCACGTGGGGATGTTGATCCTCGGAATCGTCAACAGGTAATCGACAGGTAAAACATAATTTATAGCCCTAGTCCCAATTATTTAAAGCCAGCACATTATACAGCCACAGTATCATACTGCTTCCTTACTGTGCAGTGATGTACACTACAGCTATAATCCTGTGCAGTCACAATAATGGGCAGTAACTATACTGTACAGTTACCAATAACTGTCATCATCAGGAATAACATGTTAACAACCATATTGCCAACTCCTGGTCCCACAATTTGCGAGCCTTTTTGGTCATTTCCTGCAGCCTGTGGAGAAGCTGGTCGATTCCTTTCGCTGTACAGTATTTGGGGTTGCACCTGTTGTATCAGGCAACCTCCCAGCACTGCATCGGGTCATTGGAGTTTGGATGGGCTCAGGTGTGGTCGAGGTGACCTCATCCTTTCAGTGGGTTTTCTGGTCCTTCCTGGTCCTGTAGGGCAACTCGGGGGACCTACAGTACATTCTTGATCTCTTGGATCTAAACAACTTCATTTCCTGTCTGACCTTCCACATGACCACCTTTATCCAGGTTCATCTACTGTTACAGGCTGGAGTTTGGATAGTGTCCTTTGGAACTCTAGGACACCTATTGGCATGTTCCTATACATCCGGGGTTCAGGGACTGGTTAGGTTTTGTTGCGAGGCATCAAGCGTACTGCTTCAGGGTTATTCCCCTTCAGCTTGAATCTGCCCCCTTCTCCTACATTTACCAGGCTAGTGTGGATCATTGTAATCCAGCTGCAGCTGTTAGAAGTTCATGTGTTAGCCTACCTCAATGACTGGCTGGTGTGGGCCCCCAGTCAGTCTGCATTATCAGTTGGCCAGTATCTGGTTCTTTCCCAGCTTGCTGGGTTTGGGTTCCTGGTGAACTGGAGGAAGTCCCAGTCTGTTACGTTCCAGGTTTGAACTTGGTTGGGCCTTGTTTGTGACTTTCAGTCAACATCTCTTTTTTCCTGCCTCTAGCAGTCTTGTTTCCCTTGCAGCTTTGTCGCCATCTGGTAATTACCCAAGTGTAGTTACAGGACAAGAGCTACACTCGTGGTGTCCCATCTTCCCAGTACTCTTTGTCATGTAATGCTTTGAAACTACTGACAGTTGTGGCCTCCACCACCTTCTCATTTAGCTTGTTCCAACTGTTTACCCTTCTGTTCACAAAACAAAACTTTTTAATATTTTTTGAAAGGATTCTCTAGTTCAGCCGCTCCTGTGGCTGGTGGGTCCAGACCCCACCTGTCATTTAACTCCCACTTCTTTGACTTTCCCTTCGGGCTTTCCGCAGTTCAGTTCTGTGATGTCATTCTCTCCATATCTTGATGTGTTCAGGCACAACATCTCCGAGGTGGTGGTTGGGTCCATTCCTATGGGTACAGTTTGCAAGTTAGTTGCTGTATGGCGGGCCCTAAAGAGAAGTTGGCTTCCCCTGGGCTCGGTGCTCCAGTTTCACTCTGTAGCCAAACCTCCTAAGGTTTCCCAACATCAAGAAACTGTCATACTAAAGTGCCCTTATCCTAACCTACCAGAGAACCAAAAACAGAAACCAGGACACTATGACAATTTTTTGGCCTTGGGTATAGTAAACATCAAAATGTAACGTTCTATTAGGAGGACAGGTTGCACTCCAACTGCTCCCCGGTGGTTCATTTCATGAACCGAGGGGGGAGGAGTGTTACCTTCTTCGGGAGGTTATCTCAAGATGATTTCGGGGCTTAGTGTCCCTGCGGCCCAGTCCTCGACCTGCTCGATACCTGCTTGATGGGGTTCTGGGAGTTCTTCTACTCCCCAAGCCCACCCCGAGGCCAGGCTCGACTTGTGAGAGTTTGGTCGACCAGGCTGTTGCTTGGAGCGGCCCGCAGGCCCACATACCCACCACAGCCCGGCTGATCTGGAACTTCTCTTAGAAAAGTCCAGTTTTCTCTTGAACCAGGTCTCCTTTTTGTTACACACCCCCAGGAAGCAGCCTGTAACAGCTGTCTAACTCCCAAGTACTTATTTACTGCTAGGTGAACCGAAGCATCAGGGGTGAAAGAAACTCTACCCATTTGTTTCCATCTCCACCGGGGATCGAACCCGGAACCTCAGGACTACGAATCCAAAGCTCTGTCCACTCAGCTGTCAGGCCCCAGTTGTCAGGGGGTCGCTTCAGCCTTTTTCCCTGTGGAGCTGAACACTTCGGATAGTCCAGGTTCTGGCTTCTCGGGGTTTTGTTCTCCGCATGGTTTGAGTGTGGGGTGTCAATATTCTCGGACAGTTTATCTTGCTTACGTTCCATTACCACAGAGTGGACCATTGACAACATGTCCTGCTAGCTTTGAGATATACAGCTGCCCTGAGGTGGACCTCTTTGTGTCGGTATGAAAGTGTGGACAGTGTGTTACTTGTAAGCAACAATCCACCCTCAAGGACCCAGAGGCCTGGAGGGTGCATTGATACTAACGAGCTCAAGCTAGTCTCAAGAGATTCGATTGTTTGTCTACATTGTTTGGGGAGTTTTTGTTTGCTTAGCAATTATTTTGGGCTTCTGTTCATCTGAACCAAGCAGCGTTCAGTATTGATGTGCTGACTTTCTGGGTGCTTTCCCGGTGGGGTGGCAGTTTTACCCACTCTCTACATAGCCTGTGAGGTCTCTGGTAAGGCAAATAGAACTCTGTGACCCAGGAGTTGGGAGCAATCTCAGCGAGATAGCTTCAGGGGGGCCCAGAAAACAAATTTCAACTGTATTACATCAAGGTTTGAACAAATTTAGAGACACATGGGAATCCTGGCATTCTATGTTGCACATTTCACACACCAGTCAAGCTAATCATATACTATAGTATATACACTTGCATTTTTCTTCATCAATTCCACCTTTAATACTAAACAAGTACCTCTACAGTACCTCTCTCCCCCTCTACACACTTTTTAATATCTTATTCACTAGTAAACATTCCCATTTGCATTACTGCCAGTCTCTTTGCTGCATGTTTGTGCTTTTAAGAAACTTTCCACTGTTCAAATTATTTTGTTCATTTTCAATTATTCGCTTTTTGTTCACTTTGCATTTTTTTTATACATATTTCCTTCATCAAATTCTTCAGTTATGCTTCTCCAGTCTTTTGCCTCCCAATCTCTCCTATCAATTTGCAGCTTCAGAGCGTAAATTTAGTGTGCTAAGAGCTGGTCCAGAGGAGCTCAGTACAGTACTTACATATTCAAAATATTATATAATATTCATTACTATCATCAACAATTTCCAACAGATCCTGCAAGCAAAACAGAGACTGATAGTCACTGTTCCATTCACCTGATGCCTCTGTTCACCTATCAATAAACAGGGAGCCAGAAGTTAGGTAACTGTTGTTGGGTTGCATCCTGGACCAGGTCATCAGTTTGCCTAAGACTTTATTAACCACCGTGCTGCGCAGACGGCGCTCTGCGAGTTGTACTTTTTTTTTAATTAGGTCTATATTTTAATGTTTTCATCACTGTTTTGAAATGAAAATACTGTAACTAAGTTTGGAAATATTTTGACATTAACTTTACCTGAACATTTATAAAAACAACAAAAAATGTCTTAACAATTGCACTATGAAGTTTTTGCCGAAACCAGGTGCACAGTGCGGTGGCTAAACCTAAATACAATCTGTCCCTGACAATGGAAAATCAATATTAAATTAGAGCAAGATAATTTAAGAAGAGAGATAACCTAAGTACACCTAATTAAGAGCAGAGTGCCAAGCTATTAAAAGAGTTACATATGAAATGACTTACTATATATCCATTAGTGGTGACGATCGAGACAACAGCAGTGATGAAGTAACAGAGGCACGAGAAGGTGGCATATGCAAAGCTGGTGAGAACCTCTGGGGTGTGGTGGATAATGATGTACACCACAGGTAGGATTACCGTCACCATCACAACACTCCGAACATGACGCACCACAAACCTATCAGTATACAACTTGCATTGAAAAACATTTTGCAAAATAAACTAAACACAAATACACTATGCAAGTAAAGTATATTATGCTACATTTTGAACCACAACTTTAATAACACACAAAAATATATCCAGTGCTGAAAACCTGGCAAGCCTAAATTGTTAAGTCAGTGTTTAAAAAGCCTATTTATAACTTTCAGATGAACCAATAAATATAGACAGGTACAACACTAGATGGAAAATGGTCTCAGAGCATGCCAACTGTTACGACCCTGGGTTCATCAGTGGAAACCAGAGGTCAAATTGAGCTAAATAAATGACTTTATATTATTTGAGATGCTTGTCGACGTGTCTCTGTTCGTATCTTCCTTGCCAGAAGTAAGACGAATCTTGTTTCTCACAGAGCATTTAAAGACTGAGCTTGTGGTTGATTATTAATTAATAAAATAGGCATCAACTATGTTTACAAATGATCAGAAAGTATTAGTAAAGTAGATCTGAGTAAACTTGGATATAGGGCTGCTGTACAATTAGCTGAGTAGTCGGCCGGCAGCGAGTCAGCCCGGGAGCTCTGGGACTGGAGGCTGAAGCGGTCTTCTCTGGCTGGCGTCGTGGTGTCAACATCTCTACTGTGTTGCTCTGCATCCCTCTACCCTTCCTCCTACTTCTTTCCCTTACCTTTAGTTCCTGTAACTACTAAGATAAGTACTGTTGTGTATAACCGTGCCTACTCTGGAATTGTAAGACTTGTGTAGACCTTGGGTAGTATTTGCCAGTGTTTTGGGTACCCTTAAGTGTTATGTTGTGTTAGGGTACGCCACGTGGGCTCACTTCCCTCAGCTGCCTCAAGCTTCAAGTTCTTCACTAGTAGACTTTACCCTAGCTTGTGCTAATTGTAAAACCTTGTATCCTGCCTATGTGGACCAAGGCTTTTAACGTAAGATAGTGTGGTAAAGTAATTATTGTTATTGTTGTGAATGTATATGGGGGATTGTTAAGAGGGTTTAATAAATAAGTTAGTTTTAAAGAAGTATCCATTCTTCCTGTGTAAGAGATCAATGATCTACCTCTAGGCTGACCTTTTCTGGAAGCCACTATAGATATTACTGTTTTATATTTTTATTGGGGGCCGGGCCTATATGATCTCCATTACTTGTGATACATCTTAATTCTAACTGACTCTCCTCCCTATTAATACTAGATCCCCCATAGCAGCCAACATTTATAACACCAATTAACAATACAGTGGCAAGAGTTGCAAACTATGAATGAAGAGAAGGGCTAAGAAGATGACTGAAGGACATCTTCACCAATCAGTATGGACAGGAAGGCATCCCTGTTATGATCAAGGTAGTTTTGGTAGTACAGTATGGTAACAAACATACTATCTTTCTTCCTGTACTTACTTTTCACCTTACTCTTACCTTCTAGGAATTACCTTCTTCTCTCATCTACTCCTCACCTGACTTATGTACATGCCTTCCTCACTCCCATCACAATCAACTTGATAATGGTCCAGGATGGACCAAAACATCGTCGTCTCCATCTTCTGGTGTGTTGTTTGGTCATCGGTATACATACTAGTTATTCCTTGTGTCCAGTGTGGAGGGGTCCATCATACCCTAAGCAGGTAAAATTGTGGGAGTACTTTCCCTGGGGACTGGGCCTTGACCCACTCCACCTGGATGGCTTGCCAGATTGTATGTTTGAAAGTGATAAGACAGCCCTGGAGCACAGTATACATAGTCGTTGGTTTACATTGAGTATACCTGAAAAAAGTGTCACAGCCCCACTCATCAGTATGGATAGGGAGGCATCCCCACCTATCAGTATGGACAGAAAGGCATCGCCACCCATCAGTATGGACAGGAAGGCATTGCCACCCATCAGTATGGACAGGAAGGCATCCCCACAAGTCAGTATGAACAGGAAGGCATCCCCAATCATCAGTCCATGATCAAGTACTACAATGACATTGATGTAGTTTATGTTGCTCAAACCTCAAAGTGACTAATACCACTCAAGTCTACAGGTGTTGAAGATGGTGCCAGGAAGGTAGATGGCTGCAACACCAAGCTGTAAGGAAACTATACTGTTGATGTCCAAACCTCACATCAGCAAATGAATTAACGTTGACATTTTGAGCCATTCTAGACCATTATCAGTCTTGATAACTTGACAATGGTCCAAGACAGACCAAAACGTCATAGTTTCTTTATTTTCTGATACGTAGGTCGGACATCATATCTTCATCCACATTACTGTGACCGTATTATTACTCTGTAATATTAACCAGTAACACTCACCTGCCCACAACTTCCGAGATGGTGTCAAGAAGGCGTAGAGGTAACAAAGCTATAGCAAAGGAGAGGAGACCATGAGTAGACTGCACCTCTGACAGCCATCCTTGAGTCCATGTGGTCACTGTGTGCTTCGCAGGATGAAGTAACGACCCACACAGAACTGCCCACAGCAGAGGCTGTACGAATGGCTGTGGAATTGAGATCATGTAAATAAACAATTCAAGTTTTAGAGGGTGTGTACTTCAGGTCAAAGACTATAATTATCGAATGAAACAATGTCAGAGTTAAAGCCTCCTTGCACAATTGCTCCCCCAAGCAAAAGCCATTGTGCGTTGCCAATGATTTGTATCCCCTACTAAGCAGTGTGTGACCTTGTGCCCCACTGTGACAAACATGTTTTATTTATTTATTTATTTACAGTATTTATTTATATAAAAGAAGGAACATTGGGTTTATGAGAGTATATAGCATTGATGTTTTTACATTCTGGTAAAGCCACTAATATGCACAGCGTTTCAGGCAGGTCCTTAATTTAACAGATAATTTTAAGTAGGTTAGTTTGTAGCAAAATTAAGAATATTAACAGGTACATTGTAAGAAAATTTGAAGAAAATTAATAGGTATATTATAGTAAAATTTGTGTTCAACATGGCAACCATGATATAAAATAAATAAATAAATAAATAAATAAATAAATATATATTATATATATATTATATATATATAAGCATAGGTTAGGTTAGGTGTTTAGGTCCTGTCGGCGATTATTTGTAGTACGTGGGTGAAGCATTTACAGCGTTATGGTTAAAAAAAAATTCTTCAGTGAAGCACTTGTTCTGGAACTGTTCAAACATCAACAGTTGCGAGTCGTTTGTGAATCTTTTTCATTCATAAATAGGGGGTTTTGGTGGGTGCATGGAATCACTTGGGTCTTTGTTTGGACGACGAGCTGAATGAAGAGCTCAATTGGGAACTCATTTTTGTCAAGGGTTGTAATTACCTAAGTGTAATTACCTAAGTGCAGTTACAGGATGAGAGCTACGCTCGTGGTGTCCCGTCTTCCCAGCACTGTCATATAATGCTTTGAAACTACTGACGGTCTTGGCCTCCACCACTGTCTCAAAAAACTTGTTCCAACCATCTACCACTCTGTTTGCGAAAGTGAATTTTCTTATATTTCTTCGGCATCTGTGTTTAGCTAATTTAAATCTATGACCTCTTTTTCTTAAAGTTCCAGGTCTCAGAAAATCTTCTTTATCAATTTTATCAATTCCTGTTACTATTTTGTATGTAGTGATCATATCACCTCTTTTTTTCTTCTGTCTTCTAGTTTTAGCATATTTAATGCCTCTAACCTCTCCTTGTAGCTCTTGCCCTTCAGTTCTGGGAGCCACTTAGTAGCATGTCTTTGCACCTTTTCCAGTTTGTTGATGTGCTTCTTAAGATATGGGCACCACACAACAGCTGCATATTCTAGCTTTGGCCTAACAAAAGTCGTGAACAATTTCTTTAGTATATCGCCATGTATTTAAAAGCCATTCTGAAGTTAGAAAGCATGGCATAGGCTCCTCCCTCGCACAATATTCTTTATGTGGTCCTCAGGTGATAGTTTTCTATCTAGAACCACCCCTAGATCTCTTTCTTTATCAGAATTCTTTAAAGATTTCTCGCATAATATATAGGTTGTGTGAGGTCTATGTTCTCCTGTTCCACATTCCATAACATGGCATTTATTAACATTAAATTCCATTTGCCAAGTGGTGCTCCATATACTTATTTTGTCCAGGTCATCTTGAAGGGCATGACAATCATCTAAGTTTCTTATCCTTCCTATTATCTTAGCATCATCAGCAAACATGTTCATATAATTCTGTATACCAACTGGTAGATCATTTATGTAGACAATAAACATCACCGGTGCAAGAACTGAACCCTGTGGTACTCCACTTGTGACATTTCTCCAGTCCGATACATTGCCTCTGATTACTGCTCTCATTTTTTTATCAGTCAGAAAATTTTTCATCAATGTTAGAAGCTTACCTGTCACCCCTCCAATATTTTCCAGTTTCCAGAACAACCTCTTATGTGTAATTCTGTCGAAAGCCTTTTTTAGGTCCAGATAGATGCAGTCAACCCAACTATCTCTTTTCTGTAAAATCTCTGTGGCTCAATCATAGAAACTGAGTAAATTTGATACACAAGATCTTCTAGAGTAACAAAAAGAGGACAGCCTTTTCAATTTGAGGGAAAATAAGTCAAGATAATGTGGTGGAAGCAGGAAATGCAAATGAACCCGAGATAAACAAGAAAAACCTCACACACAGTGAAGGTAACAAATGAATGTTATGCACTGTTAGTAGTAGATAGACACCTGTAGCCACAGCTTCAGGAGTAAATATCTATATAAGTAAAAATGGAAATGATCATTTGTTCAAAATCGCCTATAAAGTTCTTCACCGATTGCTTTGAAATTTTCACACAACGTTCCATTCCCATCTGAGCAGGTTTTTATATACAGTACATACAGTGGTACCTCGGCTTACGAGCGCCCCTGGTTACGAGTTTTTCGGGTTACAAGCAGGATTTGCTCTGAAAATTTGTATTGGGATACGAGGATTGCATCAGGATACGAGGTGTTGATACGCATACGGGCCGACTAGCACGTGGTGGCACGACGATCGCTGCTCAGTTTACCAGTGCCTTGCACCCAGTGACTATCCCGCCTCAATTCTTCACCAGGATTTACAGTGTTTTGTTGGATATTTAAACATAAAAATTGTTATTATATATCTCGCAATGGGTCCCATGAAAGCCAGTGGCAAGGTTCAACCTAAGAAAACAGTTGTGAGTAGAGGCAGTAGAGAATGTCCCTTCTTCATTAAGAAAATGTGTGAAGTATGGGAAGAACTGCAAAGTTTTGTTGAAAAAACTCACCCAGATAAAGCTGTAGCAGGCCGTTGCATTGACCTTTTAAATGACAATGTGATGTCTTAGTACAGACAAGTGCTAAAATGTAGGGAAAACAAGTGTCTTTAGACAGATTCTTAGTAAGATAAGCAAGCAGTGAGCCACAAGCAGGTCCTAGTGGTATGCAGGTAAAACATGCCTGAGAGTGCACTCCAGAGAAGTCCTCACTGCCTGATGTTATAATGGAAGGGGACTCCCCTTCCAATCAGTAATACCATAATATCTCTCCTCACCATCTTCCATACTCCAACAGCAGTCATCAACAAGGGTAAGTAATAACGTGAACATAGTTTTGCAGTGTAGATTTCGATGAATTGGGTATAAAATTTAGTTTGAAGAGGTTTTTGGGTAGTCAGGAACGGATTAATTCATTTCCCTTTATTTCTTATGGGGAAATTAGCTTCGGGTTACGAGTTTTCAGGTTACTAGCCGTCTCCAGGAACGGATTAAACTCTTAAACCAAGGTACCCCTGTACTATATAGATGTCACGTCTGTGACGTTGAAAAAAACATGCTTTTTCTGAAAAACTGTGTTTTTCCATGAGGGAAATCTTCGAAATCTTTTTACCGATTGCTTTGAAATTTTGACAACGTTGTATTCGAATAGGCGCGTCTTTTTGTATGTCTACTATATACATGCCTCACCTGTGACAGGATTTTTTTTTTTTTTAAACAGCGCCATCTGTTGGAAGTAAGAGCAACACACGCTTTAATCTCCAAAAGTTCTTCACCGATTGCTTTGAAATGTTGACAACGTTACATTCGAAAAGGCGCGTCTTTGTATATACCTACTATATAGATGCCACCCCTGTGACAGGTAAAAACATGCGTTTTTTTAAAAACAGTGCCATCTGTTGCACATAATAGCAATATGCACGCTATAGTAAATGTCACAAATTCCATTTCAATGTTTCCGATTGCATTGATAAATTTTATTTGCATAGATTTTGATTTATTTTATTTTTTATTGAATTATTCTGTGTGACATTGTGTTGGAATTGAACTGTGTTGTTTACCATACCGTTCATTTCGTAAGTATAAGTATAAGTAAAGATGCCACACCTGTGACAGGCAAAACTATGCTGTTCTTGAAAAACAGCGCCATCTGTTGCATGTAAGAACAACACACATGCTATACTAAATATGTTACAATTCCATATTGTGGGGGTTTTCTTTTTTGCTTTCATGACTACAATGCGTACATCGCCAATGTACATGTGGCAGACACTTCACGAAACTGTCGGAATTAGCAGAATAGAAAATACGAGAGCAACCGTACAGGGCCTGGGAGCAAGGTCGAGTTAGAGTCCTTGAGGGTCTCTTCTCAGACTAGTCTCACCTGGTCCTGCTCCACATTGATCGTTGGAATCTCCTCAATGATTTAACACTTTAAAGGACTCCTAGGGTCCTCATCACATTTATAGTTTAGTGATTATAGACAACTCGGTGTTAAAGACACTTAGAGCTGAAGGCTTGAGTAATGTTGGCAGTATTCAGAAGTGGTTCAACGGAAACACCGCATAAAGCTTAACAGTAGTTTATTTACTAACTTAACCACTAATACACAGGGTGCTTGATTTACTTTAGATTGGCGTTAGCAAGGTAAAGCTATGATTGTATTAGCGAGACTCTTGACGTCTGGCTAATTGACTCGTATCCACTCGTGGAGAAACACCTAACTTAACACAGTTGACAGCCAATCATTAACACGGCAACCTAACTGCCGGCATGCAAAGGGATCACAAGAGTTCCAACCGGATACTTGGTAATGATGATATGCAATAAATCAACAAATACACTGTCAATGGGACAGGCAATAACATGCACAATAATAATCACACACAATACTAAATGTGTGGTGTATGTGAAAGTCACATTCACAGACTAGTGAAATGCCGTGATACCACACAGATAAACACACATACACTGTCGATTCACCTATAACCTGTGACAGGTAGGAGAAGGTGAGAGCTGTGGTTGATCCCTCAGATCATCACACACAATAAAACAATGACAAGATCTTGTACTTACAGATAGGGTACCATTCCTTACTCACTCACTCAGGCCCATTTATACAAGCACTCGTAGGTGGCCTAACAGCTGGTTTCGCTCGTAGACACGGAGGGTACTTGCAGTAGGGAGTGCTGTATGCTTAACAGACAGACACACACGCACACACACCGGCACTGGCGGCGAATAAGGTGGTGACGTCACGTAGTAGTGAGGGCGGCGGCGAGCGCCTCGAGGTACTGAGGTACACGCTCGGGACAAGTGGCGGCTGGCGGCGGCTGCGGTACCATGCAGGTACACTTGTGGTAAAGTCACACACAGGTTACTTAGGCAGTGGCACTGCCTTAGTTCACTCTAAGTCACTCACAACGATATTTGTCACCAGGGGTTACCTGATACCAGTCTGTTTCGCTCTGGAGATTTGTCACTTTAGGCTTCTGAACAATATATTCACACTCGTGATTCTGGGCGGGTGTGTAGTATATTGTAGAGACGCTGAGTTAACTTGATGGTGAGGAATAGACGGTGTTCAGTCTATTGGCCGGTAGACAGAACAGAACCCGTCCTCTGGGTTTGGTCTCCCTCACTTGAATGGGTTTTGCCTGAAGCTCAGGGCATCTTGTGGGGCACACACAAGGGGATTACAATTTGACCAATAGCATTGCAGCAAATGGGCGAGAACCAATCATATTAGCTCGTTCGATGAGCAGTAGCAGGAGTGACGTCATGAACACATCACGACCACGTCATAGCTGTTATTTTCTATCGCGCCGGTTGACCCCAGAGGTCAGACGCTGCTAGCGTCTCCCCTCTGCTCTCACGCTCCCACCGGCCAATGTACCCAATGACCCTTGGTGGCAAGTATGCTTAACTCCCTGTATCTACTTCCTGCCTGGACATACGCGGCCTCCGTATTATGAAAGTGTTCCTGGTTAAGTGGGCATTCTGGAGATACCCAACATGCCAGGTCACTATCTTGGGTTAACAGAAATAGGACCTTGTGCACAAGATCGGTGCACTGTGCACTGCAATCAGCCATTCAAGTCAGCTGTGGGAGAATCTTGAGAGACACTCTCTCACACATATCAATGTTTCTGATTGCATTGATAAATTGAATTTTCATAGATTTTGATTTATTTTCATTTTGATTTAATTATTTTGTGTGAATTGTGTTGGAATTGAGCTGTGTTGTTTACCATACTGTTCATTTTGAGACTATAGTTTATTTTATTATTTTTTCATATTTTAATTTCATTATTTAACTTTTTCTTATATTTCGGTGATGGGAACATCAGATCACTTGATGTTCCCAATTTTCTAATGGGAACATCAGACCATTTGGGAAGGCATCGGATGAGGGAGTGGGGAATGGTGGGGATGACGAGGGAACACGGGAGGGAGGTAATGGTGGGGAAGGATGAGCGGACATTGGAGTTTGGGACGGTGGAGATTGGGATGGTGGGGACGAGGGGATGGGGGAATGGAGAATGGTGGGGAGGACAAAGGGACAGGGGAGTGGGGCATGGTGGGAAGGAGGATGGGATGGTGAAGTGGGGAATGGTACTCACCTAATTGTGCTTACGGGGGTTGAGCTTTGGCTCTTTGGTCCCAATTGAACCAATTGGTGGTGGGGAGGACGAGGGGACGGTGGAGTGGGGAATGGTTGGAAGGCCGAGGAGATGGGTGAGGGGGGAAATGGTGGGGAGGACTGGGGGACAGGGAAGGTTGCTGTGGCTCAGCAACACACATGCGTTGCTGAGCCACAGAAACGCGTGGCTGGGTACTGCTAGTGTCAAATAAAATAAAACAAAGAAATCTAAACATGCCAGGTACAAATAGCCAAGAGGTGGGGCCCAAAGTATTACATCACACACCATGTATGCTAGATAGGTAAACACTATACATACAAGATACGTAAACATGTATATAGGGCATGTTAGGTACAGTATTAGTAACATGGCTCACCTGGAAGATCATGTAAACAGACCAGGCAGCAGCAGCAACACAGCCAACAAACACAATTGCAGCCACATTGTAGAAGGCATTGCGTAGAGCTTGATCATAACCCTGAGGGACAAACTGTCGCCAGACTTGCTCGAGGGGCGAGCGAACGTTCTCTCCGTACAGGGCCATCGTTGTGCTTAATGTTCTACTGAATTATTCTTCCATGTCACACCTGTCAAGACATTTTACTTCCTTTAGATACATTAATACAATATAGCTGATTGTTAACTATATGACAGGTCACAATAACATTATGATTCCCAAAATATTTCAGGTAAAATAATTATATATACAGTAACAAGAGTCCACTCTCTTATGAACCACACTAACAAATTCTAGGATGGTGCAAAGACTATGTTCTGTGCAAATTATTCAATTGATTGAGGATTGGTCACTCAATCTGACACAGAACCTGTGCATCAGGATTGTGAGGAGCTGAAGCTATGCTTGCAAACTTAAGAATCACTACTATATTATTACACAGCAGCAGGGCAGCAGATGCAAGGAAGAAGTACAGGGCAAAAGAAGGGAATCAGGGAACCATGGACCCCAAACCCTACAATCCCAAAGGGGAGTGGGGAACCCTCCACAAGCAGTTCAGCAGCCTCAGAGAGAAGCATCACTCCCCACCTTTCATCCAATAGAAATCCTCACTGCCCCAACACCTCCCAGCCCCCCCCACTAAATGCCCATCCAATCCTCCCTCCTCCCCATCCCCTTGAACTATGTCCCACCCCAGCATCATCCAAACCTTATGATAACACATAGCCTGACTGATAATGCAAAATGCATCTGTATACAAATATACAGTGGTGCCTCGAATTAACGAATTTAATCCGTTCCGGAACCGAGCTCATCATGTGAAACGCTCGTCTTGCGAAACAAAAACAACACCCAGGAAGCAGCCCGTGACAGCTGACTAACTCCCAGGTACCTATTTACTGCTAGGTAACAGGGGCATTCAGGGTGAAAGAAACTTTTGCCCATTTGTTTTTGCCTCGTGCGGGAATCGAACCCGCGCCACAGAATTACGAGTCCTGCGCGCTATCCACCAGGCTACGAGGCCCCACCAGGCAAGTTGAAGATTCTGGTTTAATACTTTATAATTATATGTGACAATTCAAATTATGTTGTTTGTGGTATAAAAATTGTTGGAAATGTTCACTTTTGGACTTCTGTGGTGAAAAAGTTAATCCGGAAAACGTGCTCATCCGGCAAGGGGTCATTTCCATATAGTTCAGATTAGCAAACTTCTGCGGTACAGGTATATCCTTTTAGAGCATTCTATTGCGAAGAATTTGATACCAAAATGAACGACACAGCATGAAAATAGAGGTAAAAACACTGAAAAAAAAAGAGTATAAACATTTGGGTGTGGGTGGGTGTGAATTCATGGGTAACGCTCAGCCAATTTTCGGGTTTGATGCGGGTAGCGCAAAAGGCCTTTTGACCTTATATGCCTATGTCCCCATAGAGCATTCTATTGCAAGCAATTTGATGCCAAAATGAACGATATAAAACGGAAATTGAGGTGGAAAATTTTAAAAAGAGTATAAATATTTTAGTGTGGGTGTGCGCTCACAGGTAACGCTTGGCAGATTTTTGGGTTTGATGTAGGTGGCACGCCAGGCATTTTGACCTTATATGCAAATATTCTTTTAGAGAATTCTATTGCGAACAATTTGATAACAAAATGAACGACGTAGCACGAAAATTGAAGTGGGAAAAGTGAAAAAAGAGTACTGAATAAACATTTTAGTGCGGATGCGCGCTCACGGGAAACGATCAGTCGACCTTGGGGTGTGCTGGGGCCGGGCATAGTAGTAAGTATCGCACAGCAAACCAACCCCACCTATGCAGCCCAGTCCATGGAGCAACTGTTTGCACCAGTGAAACAGCCAGCAAGAGTAAGATTAAGTGAGGATGGACAAATGAAAGTGAGCTTCAAAGTGATTTACACAAACATGGAAGCAAGTTATTAGACATGGTAACAAGAAACTTCCTATAACAACATATCAAGTGGCCCACAAGAATGAGAGGGAATAATGAACGAGCCAGACTTGATCTGAGATTCACCCTGAATGAGACAGACATAAAGGAAGTCAAATCAGAACCCCCAATAGGAATGAGTGACCACAGTGTCCTAATATTTGAGTATCTGTTGGCAGTAGGAATAACCCATCCAAGGAAAGGACCGAAAAGTAAAAGGCTGAAATACCGAAGGGGAAACTATTATGAGATTACAAAATTTCTAAGAGAAATACCATGGAAGACAAAACTCAGAGGAAAGTCTGTACAAGACATGATGGACTGCATTACCCTGAGGTGTCAGGAGGCAGAAAATATGTTTATCCCACCCCAGAAATAATAAAAAAACCAGCATTGAATGTAATGAAACGCCATTTTCTGGGTGAGACCCGGAGGCTCCCCGGAGCTTTACCGGCTGATATGCTAATGTCAGACTTTGGCATCAGTCATGTGTATGGAGTTCTAGGGCCTACTGGGGACCACGAGCCAGAACCTGGCCCCCTCAGAGAGGCAAGGGGAGCAATGGCCTATAGAAACCCCCGTGTGGTTGGAAGCATTCCATGTCTGCCATCGACCGGGTCAAGCATCCAGAAAGGTAAGCATTCCAAAACAAACCCCTATTCTGGTGAAAATTGCTACCTAAAGCCGAACTAGTGGATAGAACTCTTCAATAGAAAACAAGGAAACTAGTATGACGTCATACGTCACCGCGCCGCTGTCTGCGCAGCTCCCCCCTCCCCGGGAGGGGGAAGGGGGAGCCCCAGACATCCCACGCCGGCTATCCACCCATCAGTTCTGAGGCTGGATGTCAAAACACGCGAAAAATGCCGACCGGAGGGAGGAGGGTTGCCGGGGAGCCTCCGGGTCTCACCCAGAAAATGGCGTTTCATTACATTCAACGCTGGTTTTCTGGGGGGAGCCCCGTCGGCTCCCCGGAGCTAACTAACCACAGAGGAAGGTCAAAGGGACAAAACCGGGAGGCAGACACCACGCACCCCCCCCAAGGAGGCGAGACAACCGGCAGCAAACGTCAACCCAAGGCGCCACAGCCCCGAAAATCCCGTGAACAACACGAGAACCACGAGCAGCAAGGCCCCTGCACGAACACCAAAAATCCATGCCCGAAAGACCGCAAGGCCACGTCGCCCAGACGGCAGCAAGAGCAGCGAAGCCACAAACGCCACAGGCATGAGGGAAGAACACAGGCAGCGTAGCCGCAAGAACACGGCTGACCATCCGGGACACTATCACCCGCGAACCGGGAAGAACAGAACCGGATCAACGCAAAACGCGCTCCGGACCCAAACGCTGCGGCACGCAAACAACAGCGGAGGGCCGCCACTGAACACAAAAACGACACACCCCCGGCCCGACCAACGAAGCACCAACAAACCCTGGACCCCTCCAGAATGCAGCAGCCCCACCCCGCGCCAGAAAAGATGGAGACTGCTGCCACCAAACAACCAAAACGCTAAAACCGAAGGAGCAAGGAAACTCCGACTCGACCCCCAGAGGCAAAGGCCCAAAGGAAAGAGCCGACGAAAAAACACACCGGAACCGAAGGGGCACTACCAACCGAGGAGAAGACAGAGCACGCTGACCAGAGACCAGGATGGTGCAAGCGGCGCATGAACAGGCCGGAGGTGAAACGACGCACAAGACAGCTGACTAACGGTGCAGAAGCAACACCAAGACCGAAAGCAAGCTGAAACGGCTCCGCCCGCGCCGCACGAAAAGAGGCGACAGTATGTGGCAAGACGATGGCCCCTAACCCTCACCAGAAAACCAAGCCGAGAGTAAACCAAGCTAACAAGAGTAACCACCTAAGAAGGGACAGGAAAAGGAAGAACTGCCAAAATACCTCATACTGCCGCCAAGAGAAGCACGCAGGTGGGACACCTACCACGAAGCCACCCGACCACCAACCGGAGGCGAGACCGCGAGGCAGAAGATAAGCAGCCCCGACAAGGCCCCTCCGAGCCCAGGAAAAAGGCGGAGCCGCGGGAAGATCTCGGGTGCGACCACCGAAACCCAGGTGGCACAAGGAGATGGAACGTCTGCCGAACAGAAAAACTCCCCAAAGCATGCAAGCCCACCAGGAGTTCAGAAACGACGGGTCCGACGCGAGACATCGCAAGACCCCAAAAAAAACAACCGGCAGGGCAAGCTAAGAAACCAAAGAAGGCGGAAGGGTCGCCGCCAGAACAGTACCCGAACCAAGGGGTACGAACAACTGCAATAGACCGAGACAAAGAAGCACATCACAGGACACAGGCTGACCAACGCCTATGAACACACGCAGAACATCCCTGCTGCAGAGGAGGCAGGAAGAAAGAGCAGAAGCACAAAAACCCCAGGAGAATAACTAGGGGTGGACAATCAGGCAGGGACAGAAAAACCCCCACGCAATCCCCAGGCACAAAACGGCAGCAAAGTGCCACTCCACAACCGGACACAGGAACAAGGACACCCCACCGTGAAACACGGTACCAATGCACACATGCAGCAGCAGCAACAGACACCACTGCAACATGCAACATGTAAATAGCAACTCCCTTCTGCAAAGGCAGAGAACGGAGCAGGCAGACCCCAGACAGGGCCAACGGAGACACGACAAAACCCTGCAGGCCCAGAAACCTGCACCAGGCGACCGACGGCGGAGAAAACCCGCTCGATACCTGCTGGATGAGGTACTGGGAGCTCTTGTACACCTGAAGCCCGGCCCAAGGCCAGGCTAGACCGGTCAGAGGGTGGCCCACCAGGCAGCTGCTAGGAGCAGTCCACCGGCCCACATACCCCCACAACCAGGACGGGCCGGAACTGCCATACGAAAACAGGCTAGTGCGCCCTGGAAGTACACGGACGAACCAGCAAGAAGGCTTATGCTCGCAAGTAGGTCATGTAACAAGCACAGACCTATGATGGCAATAGTGTTCCCCAAATGTGCCAACAGCACCACTGCACTCCACTGGTACTGTCCCGCAAGTTCTACCAGATAGGCGGGACCCAAGAGCCAGAGCTCAAATCCTGCAAGCACAGCCAGGAGCCTTACCAGGCGAGTACAGAACCAACCCTACAACCCCCACACCTCACAACATTAAAAAAGGAGGGTCCCCTGAATGACTCCAGCATGGGTTGGACATG